GGATGGGGGAAGATGCTTTGTCATCACTGGGGGGCTTTGTTCTAGGAAGCTGGCTGATGAATAACTGCATGTGCTGTGCTAGAATGCCAGAATGACTCCACTCAGCACAGGGACCGCTGAGACACAGAAGACCAAAGGGATCGGTCAGGAGTGACCTGCAGCCAATTCCCAGCCCTTGAAAAGCATGGCTCAAGTTAACAGGTGTCTTAGAGGTGTTCAAAGGAGCTGCACCTTCTCTAGTGTGGCCACGCAGCTGCAAAGTCTGGGAATCTGAGCAGTGCTTTAATGCTGAGCATGACCTTAATTGTATAAAGACAAAAGAAACCTGAGAGCCTCTGCTGGCTCAGCTTGGCATGATGTGCAAGTATGCTGGCACTCTTTCATCCCAGACATTGAAATGGGGTGCAGGATTTTCCCAAGCTGTCTCCAGCTGCAGCTTTGATAGATTTAGCCCTTCCATCACACAGAAAGCAAGAGCAGTGAGTGTTTCTGATGACAGGTTGTGTAACCCAGCATAAGGGGCTTGTCCCAGGCCCTACATTTTGAGACCATATTCTCCACTTCAGGAGAGGCCTGCAGCCTGATCATTCACCTGCAGATGTCTACCAGACCAGGCATTATTTCTGAGTGTTTGTTGTAACTTGCCTTGCTGCTGCATTGCTGTCCTGTAAAAAAAGGAAAAATTACTAAAATGCTCAGTCATCATGCTATTAACTCCCAGGAGTGCATCCCTGCTGGCTGTTTATCAGCACTGGGCTGTTATTGCAGGGCATTTAAAAGCACTGAAGGATTTGTGTGTAGATTCATTGGTTGTCTAAGAGATCTTGTTGACCACCGACTTAAAAGTTAGTATGTGTCTGCTATGATTGCTCACAGGGCTATAAAGCATTCAAGAAATAATTGTTCTAGCCTCTGAAGTGAAATTCTTCTCCTGCTGTGGAGGAGCAGAGGGTTTGGTAGATTTATTTGGCTTTAGTTTGCCTCCATTTATAACCTGATCTGCTCAGAGACAGCTCCTTGGAGAATATAAAGCTGGACTGTGACAGTCCTCAGCCCAAGAGGGAGACCTGTTCCAATATCTCCTAGCCCAGTGACCAAGTGCACTGTTGCACAAGGGGTGGAAGGTGCCACATCACCTATAGCTACCCTGAACCCTGGCCTGCAACACCATCAAGGACACATTCTGCCAAGCGCATAAATAAACACTGCATTTCTGATGGCAACTCAGATGACAACAAATCACAGCAAGTAGGAAAATGGAGAAGCAACACCTGCCAGGTGTCAAACAGAACACTATGTGAAAGAAGAATGGCCATGGTCATAAAACTCTCAGTGGACTGGAGAGGGGTATTGTATTTCTTCCTATGAAAGTGACTGTCTCCATAGCACTGGAGTGTCACAACACAAACACTGAGGAATTACACTCCTGCTGATAATGCTCCCATTTTGTTCTGGCAGGGGCCATAATGATGGAAAGCAAGTGCAAGAGATCATGAGTTCCCCAATTGCTAAATATCGAATATTGGGAGGGATAGTGGGCTCTGTTTTGCTCAGATTGGAAGGTGGGCTGTAGGTCAATTTAGGCCTTTGACTCCTGACAGTGGGTTTTTTTCCAGCAACCGTATTGGGAATATGGCTCTACCTTTTACTGCAGGATGCCGTGGAGGATGGCAAGTACCCTGCTGTATGCATATGGCAGCTGCTCCCTTGCTCCAAACTACACATATTAGGACTCGACAGCTCTGAAATATTTTTGTCCTGTGGCTGCTTACCTCATATCCCTACATTGGTGTGTCCTGAATCTGGCCAGGAGCTGGAAGAAAGCAGGTGCTTTGACAAGACTACATACAACATTGTGTAAAGTCCTTTGATTCCTGAGGACCATGGCTTTTCCCCTAGGAGAGCAGTGCAGCCCTTGGACAAGGCAGAGATGTGGTGGCATCTCTATCATTGAGTTCATCGACATAGATGAGGCCTTGAGTGACCTCAGTTAGCTGTGTGAGTGGTTTTGCTTGGAGCAGGCATATTAGAGACTTCCTCCCACTTGAGCCTGTCAAGGATTCATTAGGTAGAAGACATCACCATGATCTCAACAAGATTCCCACACCAGAAATAATGGAAACTATAAAAGCATTTATGCATGTTTCACCCTCTTCTTACACCTTATAAAGATATTTCTCCTGAGTTATGGAGTTTGAGCATTCCATCCTCCTGAGACTGCATAGAAGCATCAGAGCAGAGAAGACATCTGTGACTAATGCAGTGGCTGGAAAGGCTTGCCTATATTCTATTCCAGGAGCTAAAGTATTTAAACTGGTGACTGGTCTGACTTATCTGCAACAAAGGAACAGACCAGCTGCAATTATTTTTCCACAAAAACACTCTTTTTATTTATTTAAGCCTCGTGTAAATGTCAATAACCAGTCTTTAAAGACAGCTAACTGTTCGGCAGGGTACCCCCTCCAAGGGGGAAGGATAAAGACAGGCGAGGGAGAGCAGCAGAACCTTGCTGGGTCAGAGCAGCTGGTTTGAAGCTTAGTTCCATCCAAAAAAAATCCCCAAGGACATAAATATGGTTTATTGCAATAATAATAGAGCCAGCTGAACTGCCCAGTAGGAACATCTGTGGAAACACCAGGGGAATTTGGGAGCATCACAACCCAGCCCCATGCTGCTGGCTTTTTGGCAAAGCTCTGTGCTGTTCCCAGGGGTACAGGGTGTTCTTGGTGCTGCTGAGAGCTGTGTCCTCACATAGCCTTCTAACGCTACTCACAAGTGCCCTTCTTGCCCTCTGTGACCACACATAAGCTTGTGGAAGACATTGTGAAATCAAGCTGATGCTTGAGTCTGGTGATGGCTATACTGGAAACAGCATCATGGTGTGTAAGAGAGAAAAGAGTAGTGTCCGAGCAAGGGAGACACTACAGAGCAACAGGGAACCCCATGGGACATGCTGGAACATAAGCCCCGTTTATCCCTTGCCATGTGATCAAGAGACTTTCCCCCAAAGACACAGTCTCTTAGGTTCATTTGCTGCTGCTTTGTGGAAAGGAAACTGAAGAACAGTCAACTGCTGTTGAGAAATGACATACCCTAGTTTTCTCCCCTCTTACGCTACCCTCCAGTTTCAAGGCAGACACATATTCCACAGATCACTCTCCACTGCAAGTGCCTCTAAGAGGTACATTTAAAATCAAGGAAAAGTTTGGTCCAGCAGCAAAGTACCATCTGGACACATTTACACTCCCATGACTCGGAAGAGACATGTCCCTCTGCGTATGATCTCATTCTGGGCAGTTTTTCCCCAGAGCATCTCCACATGGGTCCCCCTGGCAAACATCTGAAGCAAGAATGTGGGATGCTCATACAACATTTTGGATCCTGCTCTGCCTGGATGCAGGTGCAGGGAGCCTACATCCTGCCTTTGCCACTGTACCCAAGACCTGCAATCCAGTGTGTTCTAGAGGCTGCTGTGACAGCAGTGGTTCAGCAGAGCTGCTCCCCTGTAGGACAGCATCCCCAGGCCAACAGGAGATTGTCAAAGGGAAATCCCCCAAATCCCTCAGGATACAGAGGCTTGGGAACTTCAGAGAAGAGTGGTTGGGAGAAGGGGTGCAATGGCATGAGCATTCTAAGAAATCTTTGTATGTTAACCAGCAAGTATACAATCACACCTGTCACCTGTCAAGGGCTTTATGAATGCAGCAATTGCAGTGTCTGTATCATCTAACATATAACACCTGGGCATCAGGGAGAAACCCCAGAGCTGAGTTCTCTTGGCCCTTCTAGTGTTGCACCATCTCCTCAAGTACCCTAGATGGCTTGGACTTCTCTTACGTCCTAAACTAAAACTGTCCTCACATGGGGGTTTCAAGCCCCAAAGCTTTTACAGGAAATGTCTGGCTGCAATCTTTTCATTCACGAGCTTGGGCCAGCATTCAGATGTGAAAATAGCCCTGGCCAAGTCACCCCAATCACCTGAGGCGGGGTACAAATACCTTTTTTTTTTTTTTTTAATGCAGCCAGAAAAACAATCCAATTACCTTTTTAAAAGAGACCTGTATTACATGTTTGATTAAAAGAACCGCAATGGTTAAAAAGTCATCTTATGACAGCAGGAGACTTGGAAGGAGCCACAGTCAGAAGGTATTCAGTTTTATCACTGTATAGAGAAAGGCCAAGCTCACTCTCTGCAAAGCTTTGCACTAAGATGGGAAGCACTGCCTACAGAGCCACTCAAACCAGTACAAACCAAGACAAACACTTCTTCCTCCTCTTCCCCCACAGCTTTACATCTTACTTTATCTGTAAGCAGCAAATCTCACCCAACTCAGTAGTTGTTTGAAATAAAACACCTTCATAGCATCACCGAGGTTCAATCTTTGTCCTGAAAGCCAGGTCAAATGCCAAAGCTGGCCCTGGCTGGCATTTACACCAGCTGTTTCCTTTCTGCAAAGGGAATATTTCCTGCTAGTGCTTCTTATTGTAGCGACAACAGATAATTGCTTGGACATAAAGAAGGGTCTAACTTTCACTTGATCCTGGTATTAGAAAAGAGCCTGCCCCCTCTTCTGCAAGCATCCATCACAGCCCAGTACACAGAGAGTAAAGCACTAATCCCAGATCAAGCACGGGGCGGGGGGGAAGGGGAGAACAGACATTGTCTCAAAACAAAAGCTGAGAAACCCGAAAAGGCTGTTCCTAGCACTGCAAGCAAGAAAAAGAGTGAAGAGTACTTCGGGAACACAGTGATTAGTGGAGAAACCTAGGAGCACAGAGGAAGGGATCGAGACTCCTCCCATTCCAGGACTGCAGAGGCAATGAAAGCATTTGTGTTGATAGGAAGGCAGCAGAAATAGGCAGCTCTTTCCTGTTTCGGACAGCAGAATTCAGAGTGGATGTGTGCTTCTCCCTACCAATGCCCACTTACAGAAAGCTGGATCCATGTCCAAATCGCCTCCCCAGCCTCATGGGTGCTTAAATAAGATCCACAGCCAACATTTTGTTCCACCTTTATTTTAACAATTAGATAAAAACAGCCAAATTTTTAAGAGCGTAATTACATGGCAATTATAAAGTGCATTTCCCACTTGAATGTTGTGTACAAAAATATCTTTTAAAAACAAACATGCAAAACATCCTACAAGGCACTTCCAGGCATAGAGCAAAGAGAGGAACCCCCTCACTTCTATGTTCACACTGGGAATGAAAAAAGGGAAAGGCCACAAATAGTATTTTTAAACTGCTATTGATCAAATAGTCGGTTCCCAACCTAGCTTTTACTTATGGCACTGCTCTTCTATATCATCTTCCATGTTCCTCCCTAAGTACACCCAACAGACAGCCTGAAAACAAGCCTGTAAGGAGATATCACCATCCACAGCACCCCAGACCCACATGCTTTGTTTTGGCTCACAAACAGCTCTCCATAGGCACAAGAAGGTGCCAGGAGAACACTAGTTTTCTACAGTCAGTGTCTTACAACATCAACACCATACACCAAATAAATAAAAAACATCAGTGTGATTCAAACTTGCTTTAAGTTTAAAATCAAGCCAAGCTAGGCAACAGTCCCTTCCAGAGAGACCAAATGCAGGCTCTAAGGGCTGACTTGGGAAGCTGTTTGAACAGAGGAACCAAACCTGATGAGCTTTGGGCTAGCAAGTAGATTCACCACCTTGACTAAGTGATCAGGCACACTGAAGACGTATACTGATTCCATATTTTGAAAAAGCAGCAGTTGAAAGCCAGCTATTCTTCCTTCAAGCTCCTGTCCCTTTTGATATCCAAGAGTGATCTGAGTATCCCTTCTACGTTAAGAGTAAAACAGCTTCTAAGTATTTATACAGTAGTCTCCAGAATTAAAAGCTATGTTAACAAAGTGTCTAGCCTGTTGCTTCTCTCCAGCACATCCACAGGCTACTAGAGGCACTCAAAATTATGTAAAGCTTATGCACTAGAAAAAGTAGTATTCCCTTGACCTCTATTTCTACAAACTGTTCAGCACTCTCTCTTTGAGCTGAGGGATTAAGTTATTCTGCTCAATTAGCACCCAAGAAGGTCTGTGAGGCTGTTTGGCACTGCCAAGCTCACCACCTCAGCACACATCCAGAAGACAAGCCACCTCTTCAGTTGCAGGATGGCTCACATCTGTGATTTGTCTCACATGCAGGGCTGCTGTCAGGATAACCCCACATCTCACTCTCCTCACAGCTAGTTCTTTACATAGATGGGATGAGCCACTTTTTATGGTCAGAGATGCAAAGTCTGGGCATCTGCAGGTCAAACTGGCAGATACTGCTTCAGCAGTGAGGGAATCCCAGCACATTCATCCAGAACAGCCACAGTGCCCTTACATGCAAGCAGTGCTATGCCTTTATCTGTCAAGCAATCAGTGGCACAGAGTAACAAACCATTACCAGATCTTAAAAGCAACATCAGTTCTAAAGCCTATTCATCCCACAACATTGCTGGGATTGCACATACCACACTTCTCAGTCAAGGCACTTCCACCACAGTAGGTAAGCAACAGCCACCTTCCTGTATAGGACACAGCATAGACAGCCATGGGGTCCGTTTGTGTTTAGCTCCTGTAACACCTGAGCAGAGTCTCCTGCACAGGACCCTGGGCACAAAACTCTGGTTTACAGTCCACAAGAGAATGAAACATTTTCAGAGTCCATCACAGCCAACTTCAGACATCCATCAAGGGGAGAAAAAGCATCATTGATCACTCGTGATTAAAGAAACAAGAAGGTTTTGAAGAAGACAGTCAAGTATGTCAACCCACAGCTGTGTTACAAGCACCACACAGCTACAGCTATCTCTGTTTTTGCTAACACCAGTGGTATGAGAGATTTTCAAGCTCATCTGATGTAACAATCAGTAATTGAGCATATCAAATCTGATCCTCTCCTACAGGCATATCTCCTAATACAGCAGGCTGTAGGGCCACACTTCCTGTCATCACATTGCATTTCACTCCCAAAACATGCTTTCTGCCTCCATTAGGAAGGGCCTCACTACAAGGATATGTGCAAAGATAGGAATCCATTCCTGGCAATCCAACCACACTACTTCCTGACAGGCACAGCCTGGCTTTGCAAGGAGAACCCAGCAGCTGTAGTAGAGACCACTAACAATATAATACTAGGACATTTTGAAAGAGCCTTTTAATACTAGGCAGGCAATACAAAGCAGCCACCACTACACAGGTGCCTTGAACAGGCAATATAAGCACTGTAGTGTTTCCCTGAACACTGGCATCTTTACTGAAGAGGAAGAAGAAGTGCTGAAAAGACATGAGTGGTCCCTGGTCCTCTGATCATATGGAGAGCCAGATTGGCTTCTCTGACTATAAGCCCCCTGCCACACTGCACATTTGGTTTTGCTGGGAAGCTTATGCTAAGCTACACAGAGCCATACTTCTTCCACCTATTCATATACCTGTGTTCAGACTAGTCCCAAGGCCTACAGACACACCAGCAACAGTTAGTCAGCCTGGCCTTTGTCCTTGGGTCAATAGTAGGGCCCAAGTTTCTCATAGCCTGAATAACTGGGCCACTCAGGAAAGAGGCCATAGGAGCACCGAGGGCTCCCAAAGCGGTCAAATGCACTGCCAAAGTCAGGAGTCTGTGCGGGACGGGCAGCTTCCTGGGCAGACTTCAGTTCTGACCATATGATCCTGTAATTTGTGCCCCTGTTGTTGTCCCAGAACACCCTCCCATTGCACTCAAAGGAAATGGCAAACTCAACTCTTTCATGTGATTGAATTCCCTCAGGCAAGCTGATGTCAAAGGAAAACGTGTCCTGATCTGACCCTCCATACGTATCCTTGACATACTGACATGGGTGATCTACAAAGCTTTTCCATGTGTCAAACGTCATCCGGATCTTCACTGTCTTTTCAAAAGCAAGGTTCTTCACCTTCACTGTTCCCACAATAGATTTCTCCTTTAGGGTACAGTTTTCCAAACAGACACAGTCTGTCTGGAGGCGGTTTCTGAAGTCCAGGTAGTCTACAGAGGGCTGAACAAAATCCAGGACAAAGCTGTCCTTCTCCACTGTTGTCAGACCCACAATGTTGTCTATCAGCTCTGTGATGTTGAAAGGAAGATCTAGAGGATCTTCAAACTCTGAGAATACCTTCACCATTGTCAGAGCAAAGCCTCTGCTATCTGCAAATGACACCCTCTTCTTTGCTTTGTTGTGCATGAAGGAGTTTGCTGCCTCTTCTGGTCCATGCAGTGCAGTCTTGCTGCTCAGCTGGATGCAGGGCCTCAGTGGCTTGCTTGGCTTTGGAGTAATTTTGCAGGCACACTTCTCTCTTCGCAAGGGAGAGGAGCACAGGTACAGCTGCATCGCAACGTCCACAGCCATTGCTTGCTTGTGAGGGAAATAGTCTAATACTCTGGAAGACGAGAAGAAGGGTCAGTTGATGCCAGAAAAGCACTTTAATACAAATTTTGTCAGACAGTTGAAATATAATTTCCCCCAGCCATCTCAAATAAGCTTGCTTCTTAATTAAAGGCAGGTACTTGCATGGGGTGATTTACAGACATGAGGAGAAACACACTGCAGAAGAGGCAGGACCAGAGCCTTGAACACTTCTTCCAACTGCTACAGGGACAGAGTTTTCCTTTGAAGGCACATACGAAGACACTGTCCTACTAAGCTAGCAATAGCAGGCTCCAGAGCATTTGCAATCCAAAGCAAAGCCCATAGCTCAGTCCTGCCAATGCTCACAAAACCTCCAGATTATCAAATTTCAGTACTCCGTAAAGCAGTGTTCCTTCTGTGCTTTCCTCCCTCCAGGAGAGATTCTCCCCAGGGCTTAACAGGCTTTTGTAGGAATAGGAACTCAGTTTGTCACAAGCTGCCATACACAATTGACTTCACATTTCATAAAGCACCAGATATCAGCCAAAAAGCACTCATTCAGTTGAATTACACACTTTGCTCATCACTGTCCCCCAGAACTGCTCTATCCAAAGTGCCATTAAGTAGTATTGTAAAGGTAGCAACAGTCTGACACAGCAGCAGGGCACAGGCTTAGCCAACACTGCTCTGGAGCTTTCTTCCCTCTACTCTACTTTAAAACAAACATCAGCTCAGAAGGCACATCAGCCAGTTTTGCCTCCAGAAGAGTCTGCACTTCAAGCCTCCATAGGGTTTGTGCTAAGCCCCTGGAAAACATCCATACAGCCACAGAGCTCTGCCAAACACAACTCACCTAATTGAGGTTCACTGAGGCTTTGGAAGCAAGCCTGCTCGCAAAAAGCACAGGCCATGTGCCCCTCCTCCAGGACTCAGCCCATTCCTCCAGGGATGCAGCACTATCTCTCCATGTATCCATTGTAGGGCACTTTGCCAGATGTAGCCCTGGAGTTGACTCTGCAGCCAGGCAGCTCCCAGAACACTGCACCTATTGCTCCTGCCCTTACACTGACATTTAGATGGATGCTTTTAGCAGACTGTCTTTGGCCTGGCTCTGGATATACCACTGGATGGATTTATCACACATCCCTCTTAAGTCAACTGTATTGCAGCTGACTTTAAACACAGAGTATTCCCTTAATAAATATCCTCCTTGGCTGCAGGCCAAGGTCCAAAGCTGCTCCCACCACACAGAGAGGGATGAGGCAGCAGTAGCAGTGACCACTGGCAGCAGAGTTCAGGCTGCCAAAGCCATGGACAGCCAGCTCTAGTACTTGACTGCAGCTCCTGTGCCAAGAAAAAGTAAGAGCCACACTCTAGTTCAGTACTTTAACTCCCCACTCTGTAACACCAACACAGCAGCTCTGAACAGGCTTTCACAGCATCCATTCAGCAAGGGTATCTGTTTATTCAGAGCACATGTGTGAAGGCTTGCATCTCAACACACCCACCAGCCAACTCCTTCTGCAGTGCCTCATTTCAGCTCAAGGGTAGCTGCACAAGACAGACACCTCAGATCCACCTGTCTGCTAATGCTATTCTGCTCATCTCTACCTGGTTTTGCCAAGTTTTTGTTCATATACACTTCATACAGGTAATTTCCTCCTTTAAATTAATGCTGCTTCCAATGCTTCCTCTCTTACTTGGGTCAGTTTCATCTGCATTGCATCTTTTCTCAGGAAAATTTATTCAGCTGAATTCCTGTAATTTCTGGGAAGTCAAGTTTCATAGTAAGCCTTGGTTATTTAGTTTTAAAATGCAGAGGCATAAAATACCCAGCTGCCTAACTTGGAGCTTTTTTCCAAGGTAAAAACTGTAGCAAGAGCTTTTCATAACCAACTTTGAGCATGAGATGAGCCCTGTGGTTTTATGAACAGCTAGTTCATTTGATATCCCAGACGACTTTTTCTGCACTGGAGAGTCTACTGATGCCCAGCTCTCAGCCAGAGACAGGTTTCCCCTTTGGGGGCTGAGGAGGTTTGCCTTGAACTGCAGGTGCTTTGAAGGTGGAAGCGGGAATACAGTTTTGAGAGCTTATTCAGGAAATTAAGCCCCAGGAAGTAAAAAGTGCAAGGCAGGGAGCCCAATGCAGGTACAGGGCCAATTTCTTTCCCTCATCCCTTAAAAGGAGAACAAACTTGACCCTGCCTCCGGACTTCTTCCGAAAACTTTACCCTCTCCAGAAAAGGATGTCTGTCGCCACACATTCCTCCCTCCTGTCATTCTACAAATGAGAATTAAGCCAGAGCCAAGGAATTACTTACACCTCCATTGTCGAACCCCGTCGGCTACCTCCGCTCTGCTTCCCACGCTACCTGGGGACAGGTGACCCCTTGCACAGGGCTGGGCATAGAGCACTTGCCGAGCTAAAGTTCGCAGCCGTGACAAGGCTGAAGCAGCGCTCGAACACTCCGCACCCCGTCCTCCTCCCGGATCCAGGTCAGGCCGGACTGCCCCGCGGGCGCAGCCCGCTTACCACCGGCGCCTGCCTGGGCGGTGTTCACTCGTTACGGCCCGCCCCCTCCGCAACATCAGCCAAGCCGCGCCGCCCAAACCCGGGAGAGGCACCAGAAGAGAGCCCCACAGAGGGGCAGCGCCGACGCCCCGGGGCTACCGCTCCCAGCTCAGCCGAATGGCTGAAGGAGCCAAGCCGCAGGAGCCCGTTTTCCTCCAGGAACAGCACCGCGGCGGGGAGCCCCAGAATCGCCCCCGCACACACGACGAGGCTGCAAATCCGAGCAGGGGAAGGGGACGAGCAACGTCAGGGCCGAAAGCCGCGGCGGACGAGGCTGGCGCGCCCGTACCTGGTGCAATGCATGAGGCCGATCCGACAGCACTGCCTCACGCCGCGCCGGTACCCGGGACGGCCTCTTAAGGGCGCCCGGCCTCGCCCCGTTGAGCTGCAGCCAATCAGTACGCTCCGAGCGAGGGCGCCCGGCACACGAGTGGGCGGGCCCGGTCCGTTGGGCGGGGCCGCGTTGGCCAGCGGGTTCTGAGGGGCTGTGCAAGGGATGAGGGTCCCTCCTATCGGGGGAGTTCCCTGAGCAGCGTCGGGGTTCCCGCGTGGGGGAACCTCGCCGAGCAGCCCCGCCACTCCATCTGCGGCTGGACGACCTCGTTGTGGTAGAAGTGACAAGCTCAGTGTCAGGCGTCGGCTACCCCTAGTCCCTCACTGTCCGTCGGTACCTGCTCCAGGTTGCTGTCCCTTGTGTGTCCAGAATCACAGAACCAATTTGGTTGGAAAAGACCTCTGAGATCGAGTCCAACCTGTGACTGAACACCATAATGTCAACTAAACCATACCACTAAATGCCAGGTCCAGTCTTTCCTTAAACACCTTGGGGAGGGTGACTCCACCAATGCCCTGGGCAGCCCATTCCGATGTCTAACCACTCTTTCTGTGAATAAATTCCTTCTAATGTCTAACCTAAACCTCTACTGCTGCAGCTTAAGACTATATCCTCTTGTCCTGTCACTGGTTACCTGAGAGAAGAGGCTCCTTTCAGGTATTTGTAGACAGTGATTAAGATCTCCCCTGAGCCTTCTTTTCTCTGGACTAAACACCCCAGCTCCCTCAGCCGTTCCTCAAAGAACTTGTGTTCCAGACCCATCACTTGCCTTGTTGCCCTTCTCTGGACCCACTCCAGCACCTCAGTGTCCTTCCTGAATTGAGGGGCCAAAATTGAGAAGGGCAGAGTAGGCTTTCCACGTGCCACAAGTAAGCAGCTAAACCAACAGGAATGTACTCTTGAGGAAAGCCTTTTTGGGGCACCAATCTACCTGTCTGAGCTGGACCAGGGTGTTTGGGTGCTCAGGGCCAGGTGGGGAGGAGGGTAACTCTCACATTTATATCTTGTGGCCACAGTGCCAGGGCTGTAGTGGCCCTGGGGAGAAATCCCCAGAGAATACTCAAAAATCTGCTTTCCAGACAAGATTTATGATGCGCAGTGGAAGAAAAATGCCTTTTTTTTTTGTAGAGGTGGCTTCCATCTATGAGGAAAAAGACACCAACAACTGCCTGGCTGGCAAAGAGATCAGCTCCATGGGAATCTCTATCCATCATATGTGCAGAACTGGAAAGGTGTTTCCAGCATCCTGAAAACATCTGCCAGGTGAGTTGATGTTCTGTCATAGATCGCTTTGCAGGGCCAGCTGGGCCAAGGGGTCTTCCCAAGTGTCCTCCCACCTCCAGTTCCCATTTCTGCTCCTTTGGGCTGCTCCTGAGTCCATGTCAGCACAGAGCCCAGTCTTCAATAATTTGGAAAGTGTGCATGGAGCTGGCCTCCCTGTCAGGGGAGTGGCTCTGTGGACAAATGCTGCCTCCATGGGAAAGCAGCAGAGGGTGTAAAGCCTACTGGAAGGCAGGGATGGTGCATTTGCATTCTCCCCATGGTAGCAGTGGAGATACTTTTTGTGCCACATCTGGCCTCTAACTGCACAGCTGCAAGCAATTCTGCTCTCTCTCACCTTCCTTACAAACCAGAAAAGCAGGATTGAAGTGTCAACATTTGTTTATCATTAACTTGTGGAAACACAGACAGCTATTGTTAAAGCTGGAGACTTCCTGCTGGAAGCTGCCATTTAATAAACTTATTGCTCTGCAAGGCAAAAGGGTTTTGTTGGGGGAAAAAAATGGTTTTTTTTGTTTCATGAATTCTTTTTTGATAAAAGCAATGGTAGTATTTAAAGTTGGGGAGAGAGAGCTGAAAGATGTACCCATTGCAGGAATATTGCAGATTTACAGTAATTTTTCAGGTGCTGAGTGTATGGTGGGATTTTAGCATGTGTTACTTAATGACAGGGTTTACAGTAGAAATAAAAGGACCCATGTTCAGATTTTCCCAGGAGACACAAATGGGATAAGGTGGCCATGGCCCATGGACCCCCCTCCAGTGCTGCCTCCCCTTCTCCAGGCAGAGCCACTGCACCCTGGCTCAGCATCACTGGTGCAGAGAGGTTTGGATGGAAGTGGTGGACTTAATGGGATGAGCCCCAAAACTTATGGAAGCCCTGACCTGACTCACACTTGTCACTATGATTGCTGGCAGCTCGGCACCATGGAGGTGCCAAGGGAGATGCTGGTTCACTTCTCTGCTGTGCGGGCTTTGCCCAGCCAGCCCACAGCACCAGGTATAGAATGCACATGAGGTGGCTCAAGGTGCATTTCTGCCCACGTTTGCTGTGAGCAGGGCAGGGTGTTGCACAACTGTGGCTCGGTGTTTGCCCCGAATCAAAGGTAGGTGGATGTCTGGGCAGGGCATTGTGGCAGACTGTGGACACAGACTCTTATCTCTGGGAAGCTGAGATAGTGGCTATATTTAGCTCAGTGCTAGGCCTTATGCAGTGATCTTTGTGATTTCCCCACAGCTTTCCCCACACCCCTGCTGCTTTGCAGAGAGATGAGAAGAGCTTGCTCCCTGGCATGAGGAAGAGGCTACACGTTGCTTCTTTCTGGGGGAGTGTTGTAGAACTAGTCCCATCCATGACAGACAGCTCTGGAAAGAGGCTCTCGCTCTCCCATCATATCTCACTTGGCTTTTCTTCCTCATTCAAAGGGTATTTACCCCAGCACATTCTGGTACAGGACATGATGACTCCTGCACCTCTTGGATGCAGCTTTCCTGGTTTGCTGCCTGAGGAGAGGCTAAGATTCTCCTACTCACCAGAGGGGCCCTCCTTCCCCTGCCATGTTCCCTCAAGAGCCACTCTACTAGCAGGCTTGAGTAGGTCGTTGGGGACCCTTCCTGGTCTTGCCATCTCCTCAGTGCCCTGCTGGAGACATGCGTGGATGGAGCATCTTCTCCTCCATGTTAGGAATCTGCAGGCTGCTGCGACAGCTCAGCTTCCCAGCAGCCGGGCAGTGGGGAGCCCAGACAGGAAAGGGGAGAGGGGCCAAGAGTGTTGTGCAATGTGTCCACACTACATCAGGCTGCAGGGACAAGGCTCAAGGGCGAGGGCTTTAAACCAGTGGAGTGGCTGATGTAATAGGGAGTTATTCAGGGGCTGCTGCCATGGGGCACCCCATCCCATATCTCATGCCCTCTCCCAAATCAGCAATCTCTTCCCACCCCTTTTAGGTTTCATGAGAAACAGCTGATGAGGAGAGACCCAGTGAGCATCCTTGCTGACCAAAAGCAGAGCAGGGCTTGGCTGCAGAGACCAGCTGGCCAGCAGCCACCTATCACTGTCTGCTCTTGCTGGCCAGCCAGCACTGATTTTTTCCAGCTATGGCTAACGTGACAGAAAGCTGTAGGAAACATGGATTCCCTCACCATCAACTTGGTAACTCTCACCATCATCTGTAAGTGTGTGCTGAAGCCTGATGTGTTGTTTGGGAGCTCCTTTTGCTCCCAGGCCTCAGTCTGGCTTCTCTAGTGTCACAGCAAGCACAGCTTCACCAAAGGACAGACTTGAGAAGTCACCCATTGGGTGTTGAGATTCCCCTTTTTTTTTCCATAGGTCTCGAACTCCTGTATCTGTCTCAGGCAATTAAGCAGAAAGCATTCAATGTGTTCCAGTATCAAAGGAAGTCCCACTCTTGGCTAAGGCTCTTGACTGTGTTTTGGGGAGCTGTGCTCCAGGGCAGAGGCCCCACTGCTTCTCCTGTCCAGAAATTAGGAGTTGCTTCAATATACTGGCTGTAGGCCTGAAGTGGAGTATTTATCTTGGCATGGCTCCCTTTGGATCTTGTGTGCACCCATGGTCAAACACCCCAAGGAATGTGTACTCTGCCCACTGAAGACCATGGCACCTGCCCTTCCAGGCCAATATGCACAGCAAAGATGGTTTGGGGTCAGATACAAAGCCTGGCCTGGTACCATGTGCTATAGACAAAACTATGGTTCTTAATATCAAAATGCCCAACAAGAAAAAACCTTTAAAACCATTGCAAAGAAAGGGAAATTATGGGGGAATGAATGAAGGAAAATTAGCCCCAACAAATGCTTTAAGGAAATCTGCTACTTAGAGAGAAAAAGAGGAATGGGATTTCAGAAAAGGAAGAGCTCAAAAGGCAGCACAAGGAGACAAATGACAGTAGAGAAACCCAAATGACAGGCAGACAGGAACAACAAAGAGAGGAGTCCTTGACCTGGCATACAATGTGCTTGTTGAAAATGTTGTATCAGTGCTAAGGTGAGGCTGGGTACCAAGTTAAAAAAATCTTTTCCCAAGAGATTGGGACCCAAGAGAGGGTGAGTCCCTGAAGGAAGAGAATGGTACCTCCTTTTTCAACATATAAAGTGTTCTTTTCAGAGAGCTGCTCAAGGACCTTGCCTTCCTGCAGTCTACAGAATTCATTCCCATCAGTGAGGTTCTGGAAAACTCATAGCAATAGAATGGAGGTTGGTTGCCTGTCCCAAGATTGCATAAAGTGGTGCAACAACTGTGTACCCATCCTTACCTT